GCCGAAACAATTTTTCCGGGAAAATTTTTTCGGTACTAGTCGGGCGAAATCCCGAAAAAGTCTGGCAAATTTGTTTCCGCCCCCCTAATTTTTTCCTTCCGGTACGCCCATGCGCATTTTACAACATTTCGCAACGAAACTTTGGAATATTACTAATTTTGTGATGCTCTTTCAAACTGTGGTGAAATTTTTGTCTAAATCAAAATTTAGTCTATAATGCAAATGGTCCATTGGTTGCATGAAGAATTTGTTTTGTTTCGAAGGCGGCGTCTTCCCACAAACGTATGCGACCCCCGCGCACAAACATGAAGGAATTTCAAAGAGCTGTCCGGCGTGAGACACGTGACTGGCAAACGCGCTATACGTATAAATGGTTTCAATAGGGCCTTTTATCAGAAGTTATATCGTCCCAGGCTCTTTCCTCAACGCTCCCACCCCCTAGCCTCCGACCGCAAAAGAAAACCCTGGGGAAGATATTCCGGTTTTTTCGACTGTTTTTTTTTAACACAATATTCTCACTTTAAACTTTATTTAACTAGACTTGGAGATGATGACGACGGCGCAGCGGAGACTGGTGTCACGGAGACAACAAGAGTGGCCACTTTTTACCCTCATCCTACCAACGACAAAATAAAGTTTTGGGATCTACCTGGTATAGGTGCGTACCAGATTTTGGTTGTAATACCGAACTTCGACAAGCCGCGCGGGACGTTAATGCGTATGAGGAGGGACGGTTGTATACGAGGCCTGGTATAGCGCTACCATCGGATACCAATTTTTTTCAACAGTTGTAATTATGCTTGAAACCGACTTAAAACTATGGACATGGCCCTCACAATTATTTGTATATACTAAAATCTAGTCAATTTTTCTATAGGTACACCAAACTACCCAGACCTTGAAACCTACGTCGAAAAAGTCGAACTGGAGAAGTACGACACCTTTCTTATCCTGACCATGAAGCGTTTCACCGAAAACGACCGTTTGCTGGCCGAAAAAGTGAAATCACTCAACAAGTCGTTCTTTTTCATACGCACACATATCGATGTAGACTACGGAAGCCAAAGGCGAAAGAAATCGTTCGACGAACAAGCTATGCTTCAAACAATTAGGAAAGATTGTTTGGAAAATTTGAAAGGCTCAGAAGCCGGAGATAACACGGTGTTCCTGATCAGCAACCTTTACCCGGCCAAGTGGGACTTCGCTCGTCTCACACAGTCCATCCTTGATGTCCTGCCGTACCGTCAAAGAGAGTGCCTCACGTTGTCGCTTGGTGTGTTGACGAGCCTGTCAACGGATATGTTGAAAAGAAAAGCTGAACTCCTACGAGGTAAATACGAGAAGCGCACAGGTTGATTCAGCAAGCTGGTGTCACGGCAGATTGTTTAACATGCCATTCGCCAATGCTTAACAAATCATTACAAGGTTGATAAGTAAAATAACTGGAACGTTACCCTCAGCTAAACTGGCTGTCTTTTTCTTGAAGCCAAATCTGTCTGGGAGTCAATAGCCGCATGTTTATACCACGCAATTCTCTCGCGAGACCAGTTCAGGGAGCGAGCATGCCGTTATATAAAGAAAAACTAAAAGTGAGGCGTAGGACTGAAGTTTTACCTGAATAAATGCATTGAAAAACTAAGAGTAAAGTCTACTATTATGTTTTACCTCAATAAATGCATTAAAAGAAAGTTTTCAGCGCTTTTAGTAAAAACGATTTTGTGAATTTTAAGCCATTTTTCAAAATACATATTTATGTTGACGAATTGACCGTGCTGTTCACATGCGTGAAAAGACTGGGACTGGCCTTCAAGTTTGGCTACAAATTTCCAGTTGGAGGTATAGCGTTCCAGTTGTATTCATTTCACTGATCAGATGAACTGGCCCCAATACCGTTCCTTGCAGCTCAGCATATATCGTCGCAGAAAAATGTCCACTCTTTTGTGAAACTTGGTTAATGGTATCTAATTATTAGCTAACATATATGATGACTGTGTGGTATGGTATGGAATTCTAACAAACTGCTCATTCTATATACGATGTTGATAACAGTAATGCCCCGGGAGTCAAGCCAATTGTCGGCTCAGCAAATATTGCTCGATCTTCATTGTTTCTGAGCTACTAGTTTAAATAACTCTAATTCAGACCTCTTTAGATGGCGCTAATTAACTCTGAATGGCGCCACACCTATCCTCGATCAGGGGAATTCCTCTTTAAACCTCTGAACCCAGGGTACAACGACCCAGGCAAGCGAAAAATTGCTTGACCACTGTGGGAATCGGAGCAGCGATTTGCTGGTCCTGTGCTCTACGAAATGAGCTACGAGGTCAAATATGCATGTCAGGGATTTCCACCATGGTCAAGATTTTTTTCAGATTGTGCGGAGAGAAGCGCCGCCTAAAATAATTTACACTACTTCAAAACACAATCGTTACATCTTAAGTCCGTTATAATTTGTTTCAGGTCGAATTTGGATGGTCGCGTCGGCGTCTGCTGTCGCTGCGGCAGTTCCTCTGCCTGGGTTAAGTGTTGCCGTTGATCTCGCTCTTCTGACAAACGAAGTGAGTTTCTACAAATCCCAACTTGGCCTTCCTGACGAAAACTCGTACGAATTTCGAAAAATGACGCCTGAAAATCAGGAGAAAGTTCGCAAGTTTTGCGTCATCAGTGCTTTGCAAATGGCATCGTTTCTTGCAACCTATACAGCTGGGTCGGCAGTTGAAGAATTTACGCGTTTTATTCCGTTCGTCGGCCCCGCTATTGCTGGAAGCATTTCCTTCTCCTCCACCTATTATTTCCTGCATCAATGTCTGAAAGAATTAGAAGGATCAGCGCTAGATTTTGTGGATGAAATGACCTCAAAAGCCGTCGACGATTTTGATATTGACTAGCTCTAGTCGGGACAATCTTATCGTGCGCAAAGAAACTTTGGGTTTATTACTCCTTACAGTATCTTTTAGTAGTTGTAGTGTTGAAATGTCTACTAACGAATGTGTGCCATACAAAGCCAAACAGTTGAGATTAACAACTAGTTAAATTTGGATATGCAGTCTTGTCGTATAGAAAAAGAACTTTTAGGTTTATTTGCTGCTGACAAATCTGGGTAATAGCTGAGTGAAAGATATTATTCAAAAAATAAATGGCGGCTGGATAATAAAAGCCTGTAAAAGACGAGCACGTTTTCAATGGCAAGTTTTAAATTAATTGCCAACTGCACATGTTTACGTACAACAAATTTCCTGTGACAAGATTTTGGTTTTATGGCTGCCATGCACGGCAGCTATTTCAACAATAGATCGCTGACCAACTGCACACAAGTGCTCAGGTTACTTTGTCAATTTCTTTGTTGACAATCAGCATTAACTTCTTTCATATATATGACAAGTATACACTTTCTCAAAAGCTAACAGTAGTATGCTAGCTTTTGAACATGTGTATATGTCATCATCTAGACTTGCTACAATTCGACCATAGAGGGTCCGGAAAGGACTTTGGAAAGTCTATATGTCATCTAACAACTTGGTAATGTTACACACGAGCAAATAAAACAATAACCACATATGAAACTTGTGATAGAAACTTGCTTGTCTGTAACCGGCCTATAATAATTACTGTAAGTCAGTGGCATTGATTTCTCGAAATGTATTTTGTGTCGAAATAAAAGTCAAATGGTCTGTCTCTATCTTTGCATGATCTAATCAAGCTTAGCTCAGCAGACCGCTGTGGGAAAGAGTTCCATAATCCATATACATCAATTGCAAGAATAGTGAAACCTATAACTTTAATATTGCATGTGAAATTATACAAGCCATCATATGTTTGTTTAAACAGCTGCATGCCACCAGTTTTTTACTTGGAAAACTGTTTACTGGGAATCGGTATATATTATTATTTAAAATAATCTTTACAGTATATGCGATTTGATTGGCTGATAGCCATGCTTTCATCAACAGCTGCGGTAGGGAAATATCGTCATGCACTCGCTTCAGCAGAGATTTCTGTTTTGATGGGGTTTTATGTACTATTTAAAAAACGAGCAGGAGTGTTTTATTAGGTTTAAAGCCACGAGCGCGCAGCGCGAGTGGCTTTAGACCTAATAAAACACGACCCGCGAGTTTTTTAAATGACTTCAAAAACGTATGCATAATAAGTCAAATCTTTATATAAAAATCTTTATATAAAAATTTTTTTATAAAAATCTTTATATAAAAATCTTTATATAAAAACCTTTATATAGTTTGCATAACAATGGTCTTTTGTTAAAGTGTTCTTTAGCTGGTATAAAGACGTATGCATGTGACTTAATTTCTTACTCAAGATTGGATAATTGCTTCATGAATTATTAATGAGTTTTTGAAGTTAGTTTCAAAAACTCAATAATAATTCATGAGGAAAACACAAAGAAAAATAATAAGCGTGTCGTATCTTTATATGTGATAGAGACTGATTTCCATTGATTTACATAAACTTTAACTTTGATTTTGTCGACTTACACAACGTATTTTTTGAAAATTACTTCGCCAATGAACATACTAGATCGATCTTTTTTGAAGTAATTTAAAACTTTCACAGTGCGTGTTTTATCAGACTTAAAGATACTCGGCTTCGCCTCGTATCTTTATATTAGTGATAAAACACTGCTGCTCATGTTTTAAGTACTACTTAAAGAATTTTTCATTATCAGAACGTATACAAAAGAGAAATCCCAAACCAAAAGTGCAGCATAAAGAACTGTTAGGAAAATATGAAGAACTGTTAAAGGAAGAAATAAAGAATTTTGGTAAATAATGAAAAGTAAAGAGAATTTCAATAACATATTGTAAGACTTGTTTCTGTTTAGAATGAGTCTAGGTAGTTCTTGTTTTATACAATAAATGAAGGCGACGACGTTATGCACGGAAAGATTTACACGAAATCTTGTTCATTCTTGTGCATGCGAATACGTTCGTATGTACGTAACACCAACGTGATTGGTCTGTCACAAAGCCTGGCATGGAAGAAGGAACACTCTTAAGTGAAAAACTGTCGATCGGTCAGCTTAAATCTATGATGTATAAATAAATGATGTTGGTCACATTGAATCTATGAAGTATATCATCATAGACAGACACGTACATTGATAACCTAACTTTCATCCCCTCCACTCCCATTCTTACCTCTTTGATTGGATTGGATGGGCGAATAAAATACGAAATAGATGAACTCACAGGAACTCGTAAAAAATCGCAATAAATCGCAACAGGAACGTTGCAACCGTAACTACGGCGTGTCGGAACTATGAATTAAATATTATTTTCAAATCCATTTATCCATCGTGCTATCGTCCATGGAGGCCGAAGTTAATAAAGAACATGATAATTTGTTCCAAGAAGACAATACTACAATATGCAAATCTGCCTGGCAACTGAAACACTTGTGTCTGTGACTATGCAAAACAGCAGTAGTGTTTAATTAAAAAATGTAACTATACGATGAACGGAGTTGAAGTTAGCATATTATGGTAGGTAGCACAATTTATCCTTCAATGAGACACATTGGATTTATACAATATCGAATGTATATCAGTTTAGAGCATAGCACATATGGAAATGAATAACATATTATAAGCTTCTGGAGTTTTGGGAGTTTTAGACGTCGTTCAGGCTCAGTTCACAAGAGCAAAATACATACTGGGTGAAAACAGCATCTGCATGTATTCAACTAAATGTAACTGCGTATAAGCAATCGAGAGCGCAATAGTTTTTAAGGCTAATTATAAGTCGCCGGTTTACTCTTCCGTGAGACTTCACATTGAAGATCGCACACATCAGTTTAAAGTATAGCACCCAAGAAAAGAACAACACAGTCGTAGGGGAGTTTTGAATATCGTTCAGCCTTTGTTCGCCATAAATTGGCATGATCTTTCGTTAAGGAAGATATCGTGTATCACCTAGACCTTCACGTTTCTCACAACATCAGCTTAGACGTTGTGGAAAAGAAATTGACATGATATCTATCTTGATTTTCCTAAAGCGTTTGACTCCGTTCCTCATAACCATGCGGAATTACGGAACCGCTGTTAGATTGGTTTCTTAATTATTTAACAGGACGTAAACGAAATCTTGTATTTCCTGGAATTACTTGGACGTAACATCCGAAGTACCACATGCACAAGTAAGTATTATCGGTCAGCTGTTGCCGTTTTTGATTTACTAAACTTGCGAAAACGTTTACAAAAACCCATCTACAATTAGCTATATCGAGTGTAGAGGTCCAAAACCTTTTTAGTTAGATATAAACTTGAACGGTGTGTTCCAGGGTAGGTAGTGACAAAAACTCCAGAATACTGCGGATGGATAGGGATTTAGTTTCGAGCGAAGGCCCGTCGTCGGGAGTTAGTAGCCAACTAACTTCCCAACTGTTCGCTACATTAATTTCTTGAAATGAACATGGCCAGAACTTCACCAAGGGTGCTTTGTCTTGACTATGTGATGGCAGACAACAACCGCCACTTGTCCGTTTAAAAGCTTGTTGATCTCCTGCAGTGCCCTTAATTTATTGAGGAATGTGGCATTTGTTTGGTATTGCTGAAACATGTCTATATATAGGCACAGATAAAATGATACAAGACAAACAAATCTAAGCTGCGGTAAAAATATTGACACATGTTCTTACCTCAGTATGAAGTGAAAACATCCAAACCAACAAAAGCTTGAGTTCTGTTAGATATAGTACGGTCCAATGACAACCTGGAATTAAGACATTTTCATTATGTTAGCAGCTTGATACAGTAGATAATAAAGCAAACTGCGAGTGGCCGAGTGGGTTTTGACAGTTTTATGCTGGCATTAATTAAACAGCGAAAGTCAAAATAAAATCTTAAAGGTGATATAAAGTCCAGTGGCGGCGACAGGCTTCCAAATTTTGGTGGGGCATTTGAGGGGCAAACTCAAATTTTGGGGGGCAAGATAGAATTTTTAAAAAGGTCGCCCCCCCCCAAGGAGATTCGCCCCCCCCCCTCAAAACGTAGCGATATTCCTAGGAATGTCGCCCCCGGGGGCGAATATTCTAGGAATATCGCCTCCCAGGGGGGTGGGGCGTATACCCTAGGAATATCACCCCTCTTTAGGACATTCGCCCCCCATATATGCGATGTGGTTTATTCAAATAATTTCGTGATACTTTCATCTTATTAGTGCCTTACACGTTTGAGAATTTAACTCTGCAAAACTAAAGCTTTTTGGTCTTTTTTTGAAACGTATTATTGGAGTATTGGCAAGTTTTACCATTCAGAGATTTACAAACTAATATTGAAACTGTAAAAAACAGTTTCATGTATACGCGCATTCACTAATGAGTAATGACAACTTATAAGCCATACATTTTCCGATAACGACAAACGCAAAATGGTGGGGCAAAAAATAATTTGTGGGGGGGGGGCATTTGCCTCACTACTCCCCGTTTATTTTTGTTAAATGTAATCCATGCGGTATTAACAAGTGACAGTACATTTGCTTCATAGGCACACCATAAAGTTTTGAAAAACTATTCAAATTTTATGAGTATGGATTGACAAGTGACAAAATCTACTATCCTGACTATATGGCATCTAAAATATCTTGCGTATCTTTATGGACTATAAAGAATTTGTCAAGATATGAGGGTGACATCCCAGTTTATGTATGAAGAATGACGTCACAACTTAGTTGACCTAAGAGTACCTTTGTTACAGTTATGGAAATACCACTGCAAGTGAATTTATAACAGCTATTTTATTCACTATAAAAACAGACCTCATTATTTTATTCAATAGACTCTATTGAATAAAATAATGAGGTCTGGACATCAATACTAAAATATAACGTCATTAAAAATTTATTTTCAATTGAAAACCTTGTTTTACTGTATGATATACTACAATCATATATGAAATAATTCAAATTTAGAAAATAC